ATATAATAAGATAATTATAATATAATATAATATAATTTATTATAACATAATATAATGTCACTATACTATATAGTATAACATTACATTTCCGGTGACAGCCAGCGGGAATCAATACATCGTGATAATGACAGAACACCTGTCGTTGTGGATCGCGGCGGCAGCCGTGCCTAATCAACGGGCGACGACGATCAGCGGAGTGGCAGTGCATCTGGTGAGACGGAATAAGTCGCCTGCGGTAGCATTCCCAGTTCGTTTGGATAATCGTTCGATTGTGGGGGTCTTCTTGAGGCTGTTAGTAGTTGGCTAGCGGATGACATTTGATCTCAAAAGAAACAGTACATTGACGAAGCCAGATAGAATTATGCTCTTCTTTGACTCAAAAGTTATTTAGCTGAACTGATGTCACGTTCGGCCATGAATTTCTCGAATCGCATTCATGGGCAAACTGGTCAAGCAAAACACATCCGGTGAATACAAAAGAAGCGGACAGGTCTTTAATAAATGACCGTGGAGCACTAAATATTCATTGATAACGGTTATACGCTCCTTTCCTTTTAGAACACATAACCGACACATCTATGCCACTAACAGTGGGGTAATTTAGAACAGTCAGTTATTCGACATGAACTTTGGTAGGACAGATTTTTTTGTATCCCACAGTTGTTTACCTAAACAGGACCGCGGACCCGAGGACCCGACAGAATCATTCTTGTTCAAGTCTTACCGTGTATTTCATCCCGTACCATTGAACTGTTGGTCCGTGTTTCAGAAAGAAACATATTGCGAACTCTTGCAAATCGTTCCAAACGGATCACTGGGTGCCGTTTTCGGAACCAATTCATTTGAAATGTTTTGGGAACGAAATATTCAGCCGAGTAACTTATAAACACTAGATTTTCGCGACGAGATTTTACGGTTTTTTCCAGCAGTCAGGTTTCAATCTAACATTCACAAGGATGCAAGCTGTGCAAATCACAACGCACACGTGTTAGGAATGAATTAAACCCACCATCGAACAGAGACCACGGCTGCTGTTTATGCATCAATTTGTGTTGCTTTTTGGATCGAATGAAACGCTTAGCGTACTTGGTCGCGCGTCGTTCGGTTTGTTCATTAGACGCCCAGTGAACGTCAGAACATGGAACGCAGACACTGCACGGTAAGTCAACAAAATAGTTGTTATTATATGGTTGATTTTTAAAAAGTAGACAATTACACCATTGCCCTCGTTAGGCCACAAGTATCCTTGTGCTCTGGTCCATTCGTCCGGATAATTCAAACCGCCCTCTCTGTAGTTCAGGTCTAAATTGGCTGATGGGTTGATGAGCTGGTGTGTTAGAAGACCTATTTACCCAGGTTCGCTTCCGTAGTTGGGTCCACCCACTGATCTGGTCTATTCAGTCAAATCATACTCAAGATGGTGGTGCTGAGGTTGAGCGTATTTGTCCAGGTTGACTGAGCCACAGAATGCGTGTAAGCATGCCACGACAAGCGGCCTAGTCTCATCGTGCTGTCCTTTATGCTGGCACCAAAACGGTGGTGTAAGTTCAAAGCAAACATGTCCTCGTACCACCTCATTTAACCCGAAATCGGGACCAACGAACTGATGACGTTCCAAACAATCTAAATGCACTTTGTGTGGATGCGGTTTACACGTAGACAACTCATCATCTATAGATATAATAGGTTAATCATAAGATTGCTAGTAACTCTGACTGAGAGCCCACGACTGGTGATGAGGTGATCAAGACGTGGCGGTGATGAAGTGATCTGCATGCCACAGAGATAAACTTACTTCGAAACAACAGAATTATATGCGTACCACACAGTATATCGGAATAAGACAGTTAAGTCACCGAGGTACCGTACGTCACCTTGTTCTATGTTTCAGCAGAGTCACCTGCAATCCATGATACAATTGTTATACGTTCCGACTAATGACGTCTTGTGACCACGTTAAGCGATCCTGCTATGATCAGAAAGCTCGATATGTTTGTTGTATCATTGCCAGGATGCTTTCTAATAAACCGCTGACTGATCAACCTTGGCCCAGTTTTTGGCGTATTTCATTGGAGCGTTTCTTCTTGATGGGTGAATACTATATTCAGATAAATGAAAAGCGTCTCGGAATTCATTTTAAAGGATAATCGCAATAAAAGAAACGCTACATGCTGCAACCCTTTTTCCACTGAGTAGCTGACCCATCCCGGAAGTCACCTGATGGTTGGAATAGTTTGTCGAACGTCCACTGGACCTACAATAGAATTTACTGAACGCGATGTTTTGGGAATTTGGGCCATATGATGTGGATGGGTTCCATGAAATGTGGCTAGCTGGAAACTTACGTTCGTATTAGTACCCGTCAGATGAGCGTGCCTTACACTATTGAAGTTTTACTTGTGTGTGTAGCACTCAGCAATTACCAATGAACCGGACAAACGTTATTACACCGTCGATTGTATAAACTTCCGAATACTCGTGATGTGATCAGGATCATTTGGGCGCTCTAACGTGTGTGTCGTTAGTGCAATGTATTGATCGGGAAAATGGAACTGACCACAGATGGCCTCATTTAGTGTGATAGATTTAAAACCCAGTAGGCAGTATCGGGAAAACGTACAGGAGCTAAACAGATAACTGGACTTCGTATATTCGGGTTCACTACACCCAAGGTAAACTTAAAAGGCACACCTGACTTCCGGAATGAGTTGCCTCATTTTGGAATGCATTGGGGTCAGAACTGTCAACATTTTCTATCCATTTTTGGAACAACGAACTTTTTCATTTGCCCAGCGGATAAATTTGTTGGATGGAGGGAGTCTATTGAGGGTCCCAATTCGGATAAAACCTGCTGCGTGCTCCTAATCTATTTTGTTCTAATTACTCACCCTATATCCTGATTTCTGTCTTCTGACCAGCTATTTTACTTGAAATTTCGTTGTCGAGCTGAGGCGATAAGGATGATACTCCATGCGAATGGTGTTCCGTTTGAGGATGTACGTTTCACCATGGAAGAATGGGCTGAACGCAAACATGAGTTTCCAGGAGGCAAATTGCCAGTATTCCAAGTGAGAGAAGAGGGGTCGCAAGAGACGAAAACTTACACAGAGAGCCTGGCGATCGCCCGAGCTCTCGCAAAACACTACGGTATGATGGGTGATTCTGAAGAGGAATACTACCGCGTTGAAAGAGTGATTGGACAGGTAAGTTGATCGGATAGTGATTTGATGCAGAATAGTGTTGTTGCTATATAGTGTTTGGACTGTTCAGAGAATGATTGCATTTTCAGTAGCTTGGTTTTGTTTTCCTATCCAAATTCCCTGCGACACATACATCCTATGTTGTCAGTGCTTTTTGGCAGTTAAATCCACATATTAACTCTTATACAGAAACAACCAGAACCGTGCAAACGGCTGGCAATTTTATCCGTGAACTTGACATAAATCTGACGGCTGTATGAGGTGAAACCGCCAGCTTCACAGACCCATCTTTGAGGAGTTAAGCTGAATGGTTGTCCCTGTGCAGTCAAATGGGTCTCGCGTCATCGCAAGCTATCAAAGATAGTGGTAGAGGAAGCCGCTTCGAGAAGGTGGTCCCGCTGGCTCATTCATCGTGAAGTAATATGGTTTTAGAAAAAAATCTGGATGGGTTCCATGGGCACTTGTTGAGAAGAGGGTAGGTGTTGCATGTGCCAACGTGCCATCAACTCGAATGAATTTCAACGACATCGGATATCATTCATCAGACTCTGTGATCTACTGAATGTTTGTAATCCCTTTTGTAAACATTTGGGTGAATTTCATATAACCCATGAATGTAGGTTCCGAGTAGTAGCATATACGTTTGCCATGTATGGACCAGGGGAAAAATCACCCAACACAACGGCCTGTTTGCCCCAACACGGTAAGCTTACTGACGACCTTACTAGATGGATTTGACCTTCAGAAAAAACGGTGCGCATATTAGCAGAGTGATAAAGAAGTTGAGGGCATGAAGATGAGTCTGTTGCCATTGATTTCTTGATATAACGAACCAAATTTCTCAGAAGATAGTTGGATAAGGGCTGCAACGCCCAGAGAGGGAATCCAAAGGAGACGATATACCAACGGATATTAAGTTTCGTCAACAAACGTATTCGATAAAACTCTTGAGGAATCGGACTTGGTGAAAAAGTTGGCTTGATCAGGATATGCAGTAAAACGGAATTGAAGCAGGAATTTATAGACAGAATGAACAAGTTGCTGTGCTAAGTTTACCGTACTTGGGTAGCATATGCTTGCACATTTTCCTCTAGGTTATTGGTCACATTTCTGGCTGTAATGGGTTGGCGAGAAATTCCACGATCTGATACTGGGTCGCGTGCCAACCATTAGCCACTGAAGAGCCTACAACGTGGTGAAAAGCTTTGAAAAAAATGAGCTGGCATTTTTATGTCGTTTATTTCTTGTATGCCGTCACAGCCATAAGGGAACCATGAACTTTGTTTATTTTTGTGTTCACCCTTTATTCAAACAGGAACTTATGCATTGAATTCATGTAGGTGGTATTGATTGAGTCTTCCGATGGAGAGGGAGCTATGCACAGCCATTTAACCACTCCAATGTCTGACTCTTCATTTAGCCTGTTTGTGAACAGAAAAGATGGAATGGCAGTTGAAATTAAGAGGGACCGCAAGCTATGTAGTGAGGAAATCGATAAATTTTAATTACTCCCTCACCTGACCGAAGACATCGAATTCTTCTTCGTTGCAGTCTGCCGATTTGCACGAACTGTTCGTAAGGGCCTTTTTCGCTCCACCAGAACAAAGGAATGAACTACTTGAAAAAGCAATGTCCGAGGAGGTGCCGAGACTGTTAGACGTGAGTTGCAACTTGAGGTGAAACTTGGAAAAATTACGAGGTTTACGCATTGCATCCGCTGATATTCAAATGTATTTTTTCCACAGCTTATTTGCAAATCACTCGCTGACTCTGGTGGCAGGTTTGTTGCTGGCGACAAAGTGACTCTGGGAGACATATACCTTCTGGCATCCATGGAACATGTACGGAAGGCGGATGCTCAAATTTTGCAGACAAAATATCCAAAGTTGTTGACGCTCGAAGCGGAAGTGCTGAAGGCCTTGCCAAAGCTGGCGGATTACGTCAGAACACGACCAGAAACGCCGCTTTGAAGCGAAAGCGAACTGTAACGAGCAATGTCAATCCACTTTTCAAAAACTAATGTTTCTATTCAAGTTTCACGTCAAATAAAGTAGTTTTGTTGGATAACTTTCTCAATAACACAGGCTGATGATAAGTTATAGGAGAAAAAATTTGGCCAAAACTGCGGTAATTGTTGATGAACTTCGTAAGATCCGGACGGCTAAGGATCTCACAGGACGATTGCGACTATTAGATTATACGCAGTTCGTAGCCAGTAGTCAATAGGAACAGACAGACGTGGGATAGCAGATTGCAAATTAAGGACTGACAGGAACTGGTTCTACAGACAAACGGATTAGTAAGCATCCCGAATTAAGCAAACGTACAATCAACAATGACGCAATCAGCAGGAGCAGAAAATAGTCGCTGACGCAGCAGGGATTTCTGAAGGCAACAACAAGTAAGCACCAAACGATGTGCAACATACATATAGGGGCAGTCTGAAGGTGTGAGTTGGCCGTAACGGTGCAGGAGTCAGTACATTCGGGATGTAGGGGACTGTCTTTCGGTCGGCGACGCGACGCGGCAGATCGTGTCACGTTACAAGTGAGATTACGCGGTTTCGTCCGTTTAAAACGAATCTCGCCAAAAGCTATCTAACAGGTGCGGTACATGTGTGATAGAAAATAATAGGCCACTTTGGGTGTCATATTGGTTCTCCTGCCGTCCAGGGATTCTGGGTTCGATACCCGCTCGGTCCGCTTTTCCGTCGGATTGGACGCTCGAAAATAGGTGCAATCGAGACGAACTTGCAAGCAATGGCGGACGGGGAAAAATATTGACGTCAGTTACTGAGGGATAAGCAGACCTTAAGTAGGGACGAAACAGGGGAAAAACGAGTAGCAAGGAAACAAAACGGGGTCATATTAAACAGGTGTAAGTCACGTTACTTATGAGTAGTCAGATAACAAGGAAATTTATCGCGTTCACCGTAGATTTAAAGGGGGAATCATCAGTGGCCTCAGGCTGGAAATTTTAATGGTATATTTACTTTCACCTGATGAATACTACAAGGAATTCGACACTCATTTACCTTGAGGAACTGGCGGACCTAGTAAACTGCACACTGAATATCAGAAGCGAACCCTGATGTGAACACAGTTCATAACTGATTGAGATTCATCTTGAACAGCGTTGCTGCGCGTGTGCCATGGAACTGCTACGATAGAACCAAATACTGAATACACCACTCCTGTCCACGAACTCATCATACCAGCTCACCCAAGGGGATCGAACGGGCCATCCACCAGTGGTGAGTGAACAAGCATTTCCCCTCACGAAGCAGTTGCTTTTTGAAATCAGCTCAGATCTGAGTGATTTCTCCATAACCACACCAAACCCTCCACGATAGTACATATTTTATTTCCTTGTATTGTCTTGTAACTGACTGAAGTGTTTCGACTCCAAACCCCCATTGTCGGGAAGACTCAGCCAAAATGAACGCAGCATTTTTATTGGGAATGAACGAGTGCAAAATTACGGGAAGCGTCGCGGTATTGGAAGTGCAATTTTGACCTTGAATCAAAGGTGTCTGGTCAATGCTGAGTGTCTAATTGCCATCGCATCCTGGTCAATCCTGAGCATTCGCGCATCTTCAGTAGTCTCTAAATGGGTTTTTGAACGTCCAATCGATTCCTAGACTTTCAAGCTGTAGACTCGATCATCTTTCTGCAGCAGTTTTGACGGAGTTGATGGTTCCCAGTAACCTCCGGGCTTATTTTCAAACAACTGACCTTCGTAAATCATTGGCGGTTTGAATGTGCAGTCCAATGACCAGAAAGCTATGTAGTAGTATCTTGGTTCAGACGCGAGTGTGTAACCCCAAATGCCTAATTTGCTGTGTGGTGTCATTCATTTTAAGTAGACAGTACCTCTACGTCATAACAGCAGTTTAGTCAACCGTGGAAACAGAACTTAAGGGCACGTAAACCATGATGTTCAAAACCACTCTTCTGTCAGAATCACCTGAGTGGCGAAATGGGACGACGGATAACATAATCTGGTAATGTAATTCAGGCTTGTTTGGAACTGTCCGACAACCTGTTCTGCAAAATGGCACCAAAACGAGCTTGTTCTTCCCGTGGTGAAGCAGGGATTCTTCAGTCATTGGTTTTTTGTTGACACGAATAAGCTGAAAAGTTGAGTGAAACGATCGTTATCTTGAGACATTACCAGTGATATTCATGGTCACTGGAGCCCACTAGCAGGCAAACTAGTAGTGATGATGAAAAGTGATGTAAAACCAAAACTGGTATTTATGACCAATCAGCCAGATGTCTTGTTAACATTGAATAACAATTTCCTTGCATTTGAGGGTGGTAGATAGCCATCAATGATGTAGCATCAGTGAATTGCACCGCCTTAGCCTACAGGAGTCAAATGTGGTTTGCCACTGGAAACTCGTGGGTTGAGTTATCGGGTTGTGCATTTTCTGTTCATTATTGGATCGGATTCAAGCATGGCATATGTAACCGCACACTTGCCCTCCCACGTTCCCAAAAGGACCTCCCCTCATGGGACCAGGCCAGAATGTTCTGGAAGGCATTGCTCCCACCTTAGATCTATTGTTCCATCAGAAAAGCTGATGGTGTTGTCGGTCCATTTGGTTTCGGAGATCTGGTGGTAGATGGCCTTCTATCACCATCCAACTGTCCGGTATGTTCGTAGGTTGGGGTGTCACCTTTACTAGCTTTTTTGGGTTGATGTTGAGTGTGCCTTCGGCTGAGTACATAACAATTATTTTTTTCCCTGATTTCAGGGAGCATTCACTGAAACACTTTGATTGCTGTTTTTCTCCATAGGATTTTCAGTAAAAAAAACCCTGGGATTGGGATATCTCATTATCTTCGTGCCTTCAGAGTGGACCTTATCGTGATGTAACGGTTTATGTGCCTCCATGACCCATTGAGTTGTACTGGGGTGTGTCCAACTAGCCCCGCAGAGTCCCTCTAACAAATTGGTCAATGGTTACAGATGTGATCAACACAGTCTCCTGGCCCACCAGGGTGGATGCTCGAACAAATGCGGTGACTTTTTCTCTAAAGAGGGCATTTGCCTCCAAAAATTCCCTGTTTTGGTCGAGGACGCTAATCGTTCTTCTGCCTATATCTGGTCTCGCTGGCGATATCCCAGTTCAAGTTCAACCAAGACACTTACAAGACCATTAAAACCAACATACTATACTTTCATGCCATATCGGCTGTCGCATGTGTTATGGGGCCAAGTCGCTCTACTTGCTGCGTACAACAATGTGGGTTAATAATAACAGGCTACTGTTGGGGCCATCCTTGGATCTCTGTGGGAGAGAAGCACAGTTGCGTGAACGCTGATGTTATGCTCTCAGTGAGGCAGTTGATATGCTTCATGAGGATTCCTGCTCCTTGGGTTTTCGTTTCTTGCCTGCTTGTAGACAGAATCAGATCCCGATTGAAAGTTCTTGTNTCTCTAAAGAGGGCATTTGCCTCCAAAAATTCCCTGTTTTGGTCGAGGACGCTAATCGTTCTTCTGCCTATATCTGGTCTCGCTGGCGATATCCCAGTTCAAGTTCAACCAAGACACTTACAAGACCATTAAAACCAACACACTATACTTTCATGCCACATCGGCTGTCGCTTGGTGTTATGGGCCAAGTCTCTCTACTTGCTGCGTACAACAATGTGGGTTAATAATAACAGGCTACTGTTGGAGCCATCCTTGGATCTCTGTGGGAGAGAAGCACAGTTGCGTGAACACTGATGTTATGCTCTCAGTGAGGCAGTTGATATGCTTCATGAGGATTCCCGCTCCTTGGGTTTTCGTTTCTAGCCTGCTTGTAGACAGAATCAGATCCCGATTGAAAGTTCTTGTACATGACAGGGAGTAGTTTTGCTCATAAGTGGACATTCAGCGCAGAAAAAAACCTGATGATTCATTCGGCTTCTGTGTTCAAGGGTGTCAGAGACCAGAGAACCATCCAACGTCATGAGTTGGAAACTGAGGTTCACGTTACCCGTCGTCAAACATTTTTTGAATCTGCAGTCCAAAAATGCGTGACATACAACGCATTCAATTAGTCTGACTCACATCGCATGAATTTTTGGGCAGTTATCCAAGGCAAATAGATATAAAAGTGCTTCCAGAAGACTTTCACTCCACGTCAACTCTTGTTACGCAACTCTTGTTATGCCCGCCAATCTACTGCCAGTCGGAGACAGATTCACCTGCAGTTTATTCTGTTCACCTCCTTCCAATGTCCATAAAGTTCCTGGATCTAGATAAACCTGCAAACTTGAAATCATGGCCAAGCAGTCCACCCATGAGTGACGAAGGAGTGAAGGTTTAGACCTGAATGCACAAACTCACCCTCTGATAGTGATGGACGAATGTATGCCACAACACTTGGATATTTCCAGAGACATCGTGAAACGTCTCTAATATCGGTGAGTGACAAGTATAGCTGCTGGCGGTTATGGTCATCGGGTCGAAAGTCCCAACAGATAAACTTTCATTGGGTTGCAATTCTAAGGTCTTCACACCAAGCCTATTGCCTACCAAATCTACCAACATTATTTTATGATAACAGTGGTTATTTGTGCCGCGGCTGCGAATGAGGGTCACATTCACCATAAACGTAAATCGATTTTCATAACGCTAGACTGTCTTAGCGTAGTGCTGCACGGAGAAAATGAGGAATGATGTCGTGAATTTAATGGAGAAAGTACTTATTTCCGTGCGCATTCTTTCCAGAGAAAAGCTGAGTTTTCAAAAGAATGCTCCCTTAAAATTCTTTCATTCACCACTCTATATTCTCTATATAAATAATGCTTTAAATATTGAACAGCTACATGCTCCCGCATTTCACCAAACCACTTCTGACGGTCTCTCCACGTACACTGTATTGAAATGGCGTACCACTTCAAACTGTCAAACATCTTACAGTACCAAGTGGCCACTTAGGTATTCTTTGACTGCTCTGGTTGAATAACAATAA